ATACACTCTCTCTTATTTATACAGCTCCAAATTCTGATGTTAGACATAAATAGGAAAGGGCCTCGATAAAAATGACATCTGAAGCTTAATTTGGCCCTTTGTTAATGGAGCTGTTCAACACAGCAGCTCCCATTTGTGCTCCTGAAGCCAGAAGGCAGCTGGAAATAGTAAACTGGACGTTTTTGTTTTTTTAAAAGTCATATTTTAAAAACTGTTCTGAGTACTGATTCTATTACGCCTCATCTTTGTAGTTACACTCCTACAAAGGTGTGGATGAGCTGCAGCTGCTGGAGGAGCACGTGGTGGAAGGTAACCCTGTGTGAAACCTGAAAGCCCTGATGGCAAACCAAGGCATTCCTCTGGTCACATCCCACAGAAAAGGCCATTTAAGTCATCTCAGGCTGGGCAGATCCTGCCTTGCACTTGGGCATCTGGCAGTGAAGTTCACATAAGTACCTGCTCCTCATGTTGTGCTCCTCTGCAGACTTTTTGCTCACATTTTGATGGGTGACCAGCCACGTTTCCAAAAGATAAACCAAGGAGGAGACAACACAATCCTGGCATAATATAATAAAAAGATTTTTTCAAGGGTTTGGATAAAAGTAGCCCTGAGTGGAGGCAAGAAAGCACCCCCAAATCTCAGGTTAGGGATCTGTCCCTGTACAGCTCCCCTCCCACTGCTGCCTCCACGGCTGCAGATGAGGGAGGAAGGCTGTGAAGTTAATTTGCCCCTTGATTAGGACTCCAAATGTCATTTCTACCTGACATCAGGGCTCTGTCTGTGCTTTCCATTCCCAGCCACTCCTGGCTCCTCGCTCCCATGCCATGACACCAAGTTGGAGCTGGAACAGAGGCAACAGGGCAGGTCCTGGCTGCTGACCCTGCCAGCACCTTCCTGCCCGCAGCCTTCCCAGAAAAACATCTTTGGAAACAGCCAGAGAAGTGATACTGACCCTTTGTCTTTCACAACACCATCAGCTTTTGGTGTAAACACAGAGTTCATGGGTTGGGCAGTTACTGAGAAAGTCACTGACCAAGGGAATAACAAATAAATACCAGAAATAAATAAATAAAAGAAGATGGTATTTTAGCTCTGGGGGTCTTTTTGGAAAATGGGATAAAATGAGTCACATGGAAAAGGGCAGTAAACAGTTTATGTCCTGGAACAGCCATATTACAGTGGAGTGTCCAGAGGTGACACCACCAGCCACATCAGGCCCTCTCAAATTTGGTGTCTTTTTACAACAGTGGATAGTTGCTTCTAAAATTCATCCCCTCACCACCTGCTTCCGTCTGCATGGAAAACTAATTCCTTCCTCCCCAGGATGCAGGACAGACTGTGGGGAAGCTGCTCCCTGCCCGTGGTGGGAAATGCCTTGGAGGAATCTCCAAGGTTCTGATGTCTGCGGAACAAGGAGCAAAGCCAGAGAGCACCAAAGCACCATCACCTCACCTGAAGAGACAGGAATTAAAGGCAGAATAGAAGCAACAGGAGTGGGGGAAAAGCTATTTACATTTTTTTAGGAGTTTTTACTCTTTCTTCTAACTTAGCTCACACATTCTCAAGCATGAAGCCACCGCTGATGTCGTTTCACAGGGCATCACCAGAAACACAAATTAAAAAAGCAGCTGGTTTAGGATCTTTTTGTCTTCATGTTTTGCCTCAACATCCTTTTCGTTCTCTGTGAAGGTACAACTTTTACACAGCCCCATTTTTACAGGAAGAACGTCCCTTTGGAGGTTCAACCACCTGCATGAACCTCTGCAGGGCCACAAAACACCTTCCCCTTTTGTGGGGGCAGCAGCATAGATAGTTTATTCATTTCCAAAATGCTTCCAACCAATTTGTCATTTTTTTTTCTTTCTCTTAGCATTTCTGGTCACACAATATTGAGCAATAATAACCAGAGGAGGATGAAAACTGCTGCAGCTTGAGAAGTGAGCTCAGGATATGATTCCTCCTCACCGGATGCCTGGAAGATGTCACAGAAATTCTCTCTCCCTCAGTGCAACCCGTGTGGAGCCAATATGAACTCCCAGCAAAGTGCTTAAAAAGCCATTATTTATAATAACTGTTAAATGATGAGACATTGTTTACCCAGATTGTAAGATAAATTCTCACTTACAGAATGCTTCCCTGACTGTCCTGAACGTCATCTGGTTTTTATTTAAATGCAAAATGAAATTAGGCTCCCAATAACACAGCAGAAGAATTCAATAAGATGGGGCTTTTCACTTACAGTTTAATATTAACATTTTCCCATAAATGTTAATGAATAAAAGTCTACTGTTTTATGTATTATCCATGGTGGGGAGACAGCAGGCTAGGAATGGAAGGGAAGCTAATCTTTTCATACCACAAATTAGGATATATACTTCAAGGAGAACTAAGCATTCCCAGCATTGCCAGGGACCTGGCCACAACCCTGCTTCCTCTGGGGGCAGCCACTGGATCTGGTCCCACAGGGATGCTCCAGGGAGTCTCCTTCCCCACTGATCAGTGAGATCCTCCCCCAGCCAAAATCCCCTTTGGGTTTGTTTCTCCTTTTCCCTATCCCTCTCTCCTTCTGCCTGACCACATCCCCTAAGACACCCTACAAGCATCAGACAGCCAACACCACCATCAGCCAAGGCCTGATATCCTCAGACTCCACCATGGATAGCAAGGCAGGATTATGGCAAAAATCAGGTTATTATTTGCCTGATCTTCTGCCAGAGAAAGGGGTGATGAGAGGTGAGAGCAGAGCTGCAAACTGCAGCACAACAACATGAAACCACACAGCATCCAGAGGGGTGGGAGAAGGACCTGGAGATGGCAGAGGTGGCACTTTGGGGGCTCACCAAAGGACCTGTGCCTGCTGCTGCCAAAGCAGGAGGTTTGGATCCTGCTGTGGGAGAGGGGCTGAGAGCACTGGAGGCTGCAGGGCCAGAGGGTTGGCTCACACCAGAACATTTGCATTGTTTTGGCTCTTGACCTTCCATTTACTGCCGGGGGTTTTGCTGTGTTAATGTGTATTTTGCTGTTTGGTGACTCATGCTTCGTCCTACCTCCCTAATAAGTGTTCATTTAACAGTTTGACTGCTTAACAATTTATTGCACAAATGGGTTTCCATTCCACAGCCTCCTCTCCCATCTCCCCCGGAGAGGGCAATGCATAGTTTATGAGAGCTTTGTGATGGCCTGTGCTGCACACCCCAAAAATCAGCAAATACCAAACAGCTCTCTGGGGCTGCTGGGCTCGGGAGGAGGGACAGGAACTGTCTTGTCTTTATTCTGCCACCACCTCAGCAGCTGCAACAAGTTTTGGCTCACAAAACAGCTGTAAAAATACCAGTTCTGGTTCAAATGCTGGGAGACGAGGGCTCTTGTACTTACTAAGAGAGATATGCTTGCCATAAGTCGTATTCTACATAAAAATACCATGCAAAGAATCCTAAAAGGAATGACAAGGTAATTATAGAGATTAGAGATGGAAAAACCCTGTAGTCTCCTGCCCCCTGCTCAGTGTGGGACCACTCGGTGTGGGGCAGACTTCAGGCCTCAGACTTTTAAAGGGAAGATTTAATAAACACTGAGAAACATTTCTAAATATTTAGAAAACTCAAAATAACAGATTTCCAAGCCAAGCTGTGCAAACAGAACATGAATTTAGAAAACTTGTTAAAAAATCAACAGCTTCTGCGTGCGCCCAAATATATTTCTTTGGATTAGCAGGCATCACCTCATGGGCAGGATGCTGCATGTGGAGCTGGGAATTCCCCGTGGGAATACCTACCGTGGCTCTCCTCTTGTTCCCCCTGGAATTAACAGCAGAAGCCTCAGGGATGCAAACAGCTTAATGCTTTAGGAGGGACTCAACAGACAGTCAAATGTCAGCAAAGCCAAGCGAGACAGGACAGAGCTTTAAATTTTCCTGTGAAATTCTGGAGTATTGCAGTTAATTTGCTTCATCATTAGGAGGAAAAACAACAACCCAAAGCAAACCAAAACAAACCCCAACAACAATAACAAATCTCTAAGGAGAAAGGGAACTGTGTCTCTGCTCACCACTTTGAGACAAAGCACTGGAAGGAAAATGTCCAGTTCCAATAATGTCATAACCTGATTACAGCCTGACCAGAAGAGCTAAAACACTTGCAGAACAATGAGTAAGGAATTAAGTTTTAAATTGAGTGCTGGCCCTATCTCGTGTCACTTCTTTATATTCCAGTAGAAAGGACACTGCTGAGCTCATTGCATCCAGAGCAGTGTGGATGCCTGGATGCAGACACCATTTAGTCATCTCCTATATGTTCCTCCCCATTTCTCTCTCCGGGAGGAATGACAAATCCAGAAATGTGACTGCACTTTGTTTTATTATGATATCGATTTTTCTGCAAAGGGAAAAGTGCATTTATCCCCCAGGTCTGTGCGCTGGCAGGAAAGGGTTAACAAAATGTTTATCACAAAGCTGGCTTCAGAGTTGAAAGTAATGTGATCAGTAATGAATTTTGTGTTACATTAGGTTGTATAAATGGACAGACAAGCGCAGACAACAAGTGGCCAGGAGTCGGGGCTAATCTAATGATGTAAAAATAGAGACAGCACCAATTATACTTGGGGCCAGCTCAGAGCTCCTGCAGGGACTGCAAATGAATAGGTACAAATCAAATTACTGACTAATAGACGCACTACAAGAGAGGGCAGTCAATGCTAAATACATTAGGGCCTTGTGACCTCTCTGCTCTGAACAGCAGAATCCTAAATTTGACTTAAAAAAAAAAAATAAATCAAAGAAACTCTTGTTCGTTTAAGGAGAGAAACAGAACAATGTTATTTGTGAAATGACTTGAGACACTTTGATATTTTTATTTTTTTTTTGGGTTTGTCCCCCTACGGCCACGTTAGGTACGTGTAGCCCTTGGAAAGCTGAGAGAGGGTTTGCTTTTCAGAACAAGGAAAAAAAAATATTCTTTGTGCAAAAGTTAAGACCTGATAACAATACAGTTGTGTTACATACCAAAACATTTCAAAGCCATGTGCCTCTTTGTGGTGATGTTTTTTACTGCTACTTCACCGGCTGTGTCTGTATCAAAAATAAAATATTTCTTAAAAAAAATGCCTTGATTTAATAAGAAGAAAAAGAAAAGGAATCTCCCCACACCACAATTGATAATAAGCAACTTGTTATCAAATGGCAGAAAAGTCAGAGTTGTCTTGTGGTTTCAGTGCTCCCTTTAGAATTTTTCTACAAACAGCAATGAACTTAATTTCACACCAGAAACATCCATGGTATCAACATTGACATCCCCCTCCCCCTTAAATAATGTGTGACCTGGAAGAACTTCCACTAAAAACTCCCAGGGCCGGTGGCAAGATGGATTTGGAGACCTGGGAAATTGCAGGGAAATGAAAAATGCTCCTGTTAGCCCTGGAGGGGCTGTGGGATGGGACTGCTCAGGGACACCCTTGGGCAGGAGAGAGCAAGAAGTCCAGGCTGAAGTGCTCCATGTCCCAAAATGTGTGCAAGGCCAATGCTCCTCTTGCCCAGCACTTCAAAGTTGTGGCTCCTAAAGAGCCAGAATTTTCCTTCCTTTCAAACGAGGCCCATCCAAATAAACCTTTTGCAGGAAGAACTGCACTGAGCTCTTCGACTTATTTGAGGGGGTAATTTAATCTCTGACCCTGGGATGAATATTCTGAAAGCTCAAAGGCTGCTTTTAGCATGGATGTTATTTGATCCACCAGTGGGTTTGCTGCCCGAGCTGGTTTTGCACTGAACCTGTGCAGAAATCTCTTGGCAGAAATGCTCCACAGAGGGAAAATCCACTGCTCTGTGTTCCTACAGCCCATGTCTGAGTTAGGATTAGGACCAGCTGAGGAGAGAGAAGGGGAAAACTGTCTTGGGTAAATTAAAAGGAAGAGGAAGGAAAGAATGAAAGGAGGGAGAGACAGAGAGAGGGGAAGGTACCAATGGAAGCTCTTACTCTATAAAGGGCTAATCCTATTCCTGAAATTAAATGTACAGATACATCTATGCTCAGGTGGCTGCTGATCTTTGAACAGACCTTGTGACCACAGTTATCTTTGGAAAAAATCCCCAGGAAGGATGTTCCTTGCACAGGAGTCACTGGCTCGCTCTCCTCCCTCCGCTTCCCACCTCATCCAGGCACACCAGGAAACGTGTGACTTCACCTCTCCAAGCCCCAGATTCCACAGAAAGATCTCCAAATCATCCCCCTGCAAATCTCAAAGGTGTCCAGACTCGAGTTAGGCTCAGGCTGGTGTAACCACACGGCTTTGGCCGAGGACCAGGATCCCAACTGCCCGGAACACCGATCCCGGGTTTCCTACGGGCTGTTCCCTAACAGCACGTCTAATTAGCTCCACTTACTTACATCCCATTAATCAGGTTAAAGAGTTTGCTTCAACATATGAGCTTCCTTCATCGCATTATGAGTTTGCTCATGACGTTTGGAAGGAATCCAGATGGTTTCCTCCGAGGGCCAGAGGTGCAACTCACCGCTGTGCCACGGGGCTTCCCACGGGCTTGGAGTTTTGCAGGAGTACTGGAAGAAATATATATTTAAAAAAAACAAACTATCCCGTTGCTCAGACTGTAATGGTTTGGTCCCCTGTGATAGACTAATTTTAAATATTAAGCCTAGAAATCACTAAAATACATCTGAAAGCTTGAAAAACGTACTTGCTGAAGGAATAGGTGAATCAGAGGATTTACTGATTACTAAATTGTATTTTTGGAGGGAAAGATTTCTAGCCTGGGCTGGCAATTTCTGCATGTCCAGCTGAAGTGGAATGCTGTCAGAGATATTTGTCTCCTGAAAGCACAGTTTCATAAATCACATAAATCTTTTTTTTTTTTTTTGGGAATGCACTGTGAAGTTCCAGCACACACTCAGAAACTGCACTGCAAATGTAAATATTGTAGCTGCTTGAAAACAAAGCCTTGCAAGCAAAAGAGGGCACTGACCACTAACATTTGGGAGTAGACCTAATTTTTTTTTTTTGTCAGTGAGAGTTTGACAGAAACAGCAAAAACATCTTTTTGCATCTTTGCCAATTTACGCCCTCTTTGGAATTAAATGTGTATCTGGGCTGACAGCTTATGTACAGCAGACTCCACTTAAGATAGACATGGGTCGTCTGGATAATTGGATAACAAGGAGAAAAGCTGGTTTCCCAATCAAGTCAACTAGCTGGATGACTGGAGTTATCATTTAGGTCACGAGGAAAGGAGATTTTTGGGGGGTCATTTTCCAGACCTGGTTCTTCTCCCATCCACTGTCCAACAGCCCTTGGCAACCAGCTGGAGTTGGAGGTGGGAAAGACCCATCTAATTCCCCTTCCCTGCAAATGCCAGATTATCCCTCATGTTTTTAGCATCCTCCAGTTTGATGTTTCTGGAATGACCAATCTTTGGGTCATTTCTGCCTCTGCCAGTAGCCAGGATCCAGGGTTAGTGTTGCCATTCCTGCTCTGCAGTGCAAGGGGGCAGGTATCAAAGACCCTGTGAGTATCTACCCCCACTTAGGTCTGTGCACCACAAGCACATGCTTCCTCCTCACTCCTGCAGCACATCAGCCCTGACTACTAAATAAATCTACGTGTCAGCTATGCCCTAACAGTTAAGGCATTAAAAGAATCTATTTATCTCTTGCCATTAAGTGCATGTCAGGGCCAGTTGAGCACTTGACAAAGTCTCACTGTCCACCCTACTGCCCATTTTTTGTCCACACAGTGGACCTGTGCACTGCATGTGCTCCATATCTCAACATTCCGAGTTAGAAATGTTCATTAACTCGTGTTGCAGCTCGAGTAAGACTTTGCAAGTTGCGTTAAGTCTCTGCAAAATCTGTTTAAGGACCGAAGCGAATCCAAGGAGCACAAACAGGGCTTGCAGCATGCACAACATAAAGGCATGAGCAAGTTAAAATAAGCCATTTTAGGATTATTAGAAGGAAGACTATAACTTCCACAATTCTGAGTCCAATGCAGAAATATAACCACTGGTTTTGGAAGTAGGACCAATATAAAAATCAACTACCAACAAGCAAACCTTCAGTGTGTCCTTTTCTGCTGAAATCTTTGCTGTCCTTTCTCTGCAGTGAGTGCAGCAGAGAAACCAAGGAAGAAAACTGCATGTTTTCAAAGCTAAACCAGTTCAGCTGAGGCTGGGTACGATGTAAGTGCTTTGGGGAAAGTGAAAACTCTCCTACTTGTTACGAGGCAACAAAGACGCCTCTTCTTTGAAGCCAGGGTAATGTAGCTCCACACTTATCTTCCCCCATTTATTAAGCAGCAGACAGATGAGCCCTTCCCTGTGCTCCCAGCCTGAGGAATGGTGCTGGCAGCCAGTGCCAGTCGACTCCCTCGGCAAGTGCAGCTCTCCAGGTACCATCTGAGCAGGAGAGAACTTTTTATGTCTGTCTGGTAAGAGGAGCAGCTCAAGAGCTGTCAGGGGATGGAAGTGGAAAGGGCACGGGAGTTCACCGCCTTATCACCAGGTTCTCTCTGCTGCTCTGAGTCACCACATGCCCAGATCCTGAGAATAAAGTATGTTAGTGGTAGAGAGAATCCCACAACAGGCAGGAAAACACAGAGTGTTAATGAGAGCAGGAGGAGGGTGGTGGGATGGGGTGAGCTGGGTCAGTGCTCACGTTACTCATTACTGCCACGTACATTTGCTGCTCTGAGTTGGCACCCACCTTGCACTCATTAGGAAGATTTATGTGTCTGGAGTAAAAGCAGGGAGAAATCTCTCTGGATGAATTTTAGCTCAGTGATGGCATCCCTGCAAACAGCTCCTTTCTGCCTTTACACCTGCAGTGCTGTGAGCCTCAGCCTTTGCCAGAGAAGTTGGCTCTCACTGCCATCAGCTGGGCTTGGTGGAAATGGAAGGAAAATACAGGGCTCTGCCTCTGACAAAGCTCTTGGTTTACAATATAATACACTGTGAAGTCTCCAGGGCAGTCAGTCACCTTAGCTTGGCATGTCTGGAAGGCTTCAGCTTTCAGAGAAGGTATTCCCCTCACCTTTCCCCTACCATCCACAGCCTGAGGGGTGCTGACCCGTTATCAGCAGTGGATACCCTCCCAAAGTTCACACTGATCACAGTGTGGGTCAGTAAGTGATGAAATATGTGACTTTCTCTATTTTCACAGCCTGTTTTTTCCACCTTCCAAGGCCTTTACAGACACGAGCTGATTAAACTCCACACCAGCACCGTGAGGCAGCTCTATCCTCACTGCAGTGATGGAGCTCTGGAGTCATGGACACGTGAAATGCCTCATCCAAGGCAACAAACTGGTGAGGATTTGCACCAGATCTCTAAGAGACCCACACTTAGTCTTCAACCAACTCTTTCTGTTAATACCTACGGCGGATTTTCCATACTGTGTATGGCAAGTTCCTTGCTACAAATACCAAATCTTAAACCAAATCCTTTGACTTCATTTTTCCCAAGATGGAAATCAGAGGAGAGACAGTTGGAAAGGTGACCAGTTGGGTTAAAAGGGCTTAAATCCTGCTCTGAATCCTTCTCCAGCAGACTGTGGGAGGCAGATGCAGTTTTTGTACCTGCTGTATGTGCCCAAAGGTGACCGACCTGCAAAGCAGGGGAGGAGCCCTGGTGGGAGAGACCCTGAGCCTTCTGGAGGAGCGGGAAGAGTTCAGAGCAGCACAAGACTCTCAGCAACACATGAGGGCAAAAGCAAAAGGAAGAGACAACTCCTGCCTTACACAGCCTTCCTGAAAGGTCCAGGGGTTGGCATTCCCACACCTTTCTGCCAGAGTTCCTCCTCTTTTTCTTTCCCAGGCAAGCTGCCAGAAGAGCAACAAGCGAGCTGGCAGCTGATGTCAGGAGCCACCATAACTGTTGGGTGTTTTTACTAGAGGTGTTTTTTAGAACAAGTCAAAATTAATGGAGACAATAAAACCGCAATAGCTGCGTTTTAATTTCTGAGCATCTCCTACCACGGGGCCCCTCCTGACAGCATAATCTCTGACGTGCCATTCCATTTACTTAAACAGATGATATAATTTATCAATATAATGGACACTGATGAAGATGGATTAATTTGGATTACAGAACCAGCGGCTCTATTCAGGACACAAAATGAGGATATGTGTGATTATGACATTGTTTGGAGCAGGGTGGGCAAGGGCAGCAATCTGCAGAGAAACTTGGGTGCTCCTGTGCTGGCAGGAGAGGGAGGAGAGCCCTTATGATAAAGGGCTTCACGTGCCAGTATTTTTCTTCAAGTTATTTAAGGCTTCTCAGACTGTGTTTATGGGAGGTATCACTAATTCCCTTCTATGAATGACCTCGCCCACACTGAGATATCCCCCGCCCAAAAATTAATCAGAGAGAGAGAGAGAGAGAGAGAGAGAACGCACAGAGAAAAAGAAAAGCAAAACTTAAAATAAATAAATAAATAAATAAAAAGAAATTAAAAAACAAAAATCACCATTGGGTGAGATGTACGTGATCTCTGATCACACCTCTTCTTTGTACCTGTTCCTGATCCCACCATGTCCCTGCTGGGGGATTCGCACATCGCGTCGGCCAGGCGCTCCCGCAGGCCCTCCTCCGTGTGCTCCATGGAGGACATGTGGCGCAGACCGAAGTTCTCGGGCCAGCTCCCGCACACCTCCAGCAAGGTCACGCTCCGGTCGAAGGCACCTGCAACACACAAACAGGACATGTTTGGGACATGTTTGGGACACGTTTGGGACACGTTTGGGACACGCCGGGACCAACCTCCTCCCGTGCGAGGGAAAGAACGAAGCCCCTTTTCGCGTCTGGAGGCCGGGAAAAGGTAATTTTGGTAACTTGGTTGTGAGTGTTGGTGCTACCAGCACAGCAGAGCCTTAAAGACTGACCAGCCGAGACCAAGCAGTTGTAAACGAAATTAAAATAAAATTAAAATACAGACCCACTTCTGGTCTCGCACCAGCGAGAGTCACAAAAGCAGCATAATAATGCAAATGGGAATGGTGTGTAATGTTAAAAAAAATGCACTTTTAAGTATATGTTAGACATCTAGAAATTATTTTTCAAGTTGATTTGTCTTGGTGTTACCAGCACAGCAGGATAAGATAGAGCCCTAAGTACTGACCAGCTTTGACCAAGCAAAAAGGTTAAATTAAAGATACAGACCCAATTCCAGTCTCACAGCAGTGAGAGAGAGTCATGAGAGCAGCACAGTAACAAAACATGAATGACATGCAATGTTAAAAAACATACATATGTTTTTAACTATATGTTAGACAACAAGAAATTACTTTTAAAGTTGATTTGTCTTTCACTGGGCTGCTGCTGAGATCCTTTCCCCCCTTCCTACCTCACACAGAGGAAACAGTCATTTTGTCTTTGCCAATAGGCAGAAATTTTAGCTAAAACCCCTTTCTTGCACTTAAAACAGAGAACTGCAACAGTGTGGCAGAGTTGCCTTGTGTCTGAAGTGTGTTTGCTGAGGGAAGAAACCAAGCCCTTCCCTCAGTCTGGAGTATCTGTGGGTTTTCTCTGTTCCTGCCCGGTGAAGTTTTAGGTCAAACGTGCTCCAAGAGAGACTCTTTCACCAGCAGCACGTTACTGAAGATGCTGGTTCTTGTGACGGAGCGCACGTACCTACAAAAGACACTTCAAATAACCCCTTGACTTGCAGTTATTACCTCATTCACAGCAGGGTATGATGTTCTGCCCAATGCAAAGATTAGATTCCGAATTCAGGATCACTTCAAAGTACAAATTAAAATGATTCTCCTTTATTATACAGCAAGTCTTCTGCGAAGGCTTACTTAAATCATTCCCACTTGGAACAAGATTACAGTTATGCTTTGTTGCTTCAAGCACATACCATTTACTCCACTATTAGGTAACTGAATATGCAGCGTTTATTGTGCCTGGTTTCTGCCAGCCTAGTGGGGAGGGGGGCGGGGAGGGGGGAGAAAAAATGCAAATGCCAATGTTTCTCAAAGTTAAAAGTACATGAAACACGTCCTTGTTATCAGGCCTTTGGTTTTCCCCTTTGATCAGCCGTCAGAAACTATCTACACTTGTAGTCTGTGACTGTACAGCTTCACAGCACACCCCCTGCCACTGACAGGTGGTAATAGAAAGGGTGAGAGACCAAGCCCCGCGGCAGGCGTCCCTTCCTCTGATAACGTCCAAAGTACCGGGTGATAACCGTTAGTAAACACTCGGGCAGCCAGTTAATCCATACATCAGCAAAGAGGGGCAGATAATTTTGAACTCTAATGGCACGGACAAAAGCACCGGGGCTGGCATTTCAGGGATTTATATGGGCTGCAATGGTGACTCCTGGCTCCTGAATTTCATCGGCGCGCAACAAACTTTGATTTATCTCCTCGCCTGGCTGCAGAGTGGATTCCTGGCACTAGAAAACCATCAACACTAAAATGGACCTCTACAAAATGGGACCGTGGCTCTTATGTGATACATGCACTTGAACTCTGGATGAATCCCAGTTTAAACCAAGAGGAGGAATGGCCAAATATTTCAACTTTTAATGGGTCTTTGGATTTATAAGGTTGCTCCAGTCTACTAATTTGTTTTAAAGCAAGGGTTCTTGAAGCTTGTTTGAGAAAATGCAGCGAGGAGGCGAAGTAATTCCGGTGATGTTTAAGTCTCTGAAACATTTTCATGATGTCAGCTCTCCTAAAGGCAGGAGGAAAAGCAAAATTTGATCTTTTTTTGAAGCTTTTTTCCCCCCAAGTCATCCTTCTACAGTTTCATGCAACCCTGAGACTCCCACTCTGCACATACTCCAAGACCCCACGGATTTCAGCTGTTTTTGACAGGCCTGTTCACATACCCAGAGAGCCACTGGGGGGGCTTTTAAACCTGCTTCCCAAACCCCAGGGAAGCAGCGGGGGGATTATGAGCTCCCACAGGTTTGCAGGGTTGTGCCAGAGATGAGAAATCTCCTCTTTCCTGGTGTCTGCCTTTATTCCTGAAGTGAGAAATGGGAGCATTTCTGCTCCTATAAGCAGACACATGAATAATAAGGCAAATGGCTTTTGAAGCTCTGCCAAGATGCCTGCTTATGTGTACAGGGAGAAACTTCGTGGAGCGCCGGGCTCTGGCTCCTGAGATACTTGAGTGAGAGCAAAGGAGACAAGTGCAGCGTTACCTCTGCAATCAGGGCCAGGAGCTGCCAAAACTTCTTAGCAGCAACGTGTGAGGTTGCAAGTGTTAATGCAAATGCAGGTTAGAGGGATTAACTGCACTGAAAGTTTTCTTGTAAAAAAAAAAACCAAAACAACCTGTAAGGCTGGGGAAGCTCTAGTTTTATCTTTCCTCCCTTTTCAGTCCTTCTCCACTTTAGCAGTGCACATCTGGCAACACCATCCATGTCCAGACATCCAGCTGTGATTCAGCAGCCACCGCTGCACCCCGTGGGTGAGTGCCCTGCCTGTGAGTAACAGGAGAGGTCTGTGCACCAGCATCTGCTCTGTGCTGCAGTGGCACCCACAAATTCCTCCTTATTTCCATGCACACATTGATAAAAGGTGTTCCGGGTAAAGCTGAACACGCAGAGTGTGACTGAGGTTATTCTGGCTGTGGGGGTAGAAAATGGGACCTTGCTTGAGCAGGCAGGTCCTTTCCTACTGTAAATCCCTGGCTCTGTCCCTCTCTGATGTAAAACAAAACCGCTCCAGCAAAAACAAGACCAACTGTCATACACCTTCCTGTCTGTCCTGCCACTGCATCAGCAGACAGCACATGTATCAGAGTAAAATGATTTTTTCAAGGCAGAATTAGGTCCTGGGTATTTTTACACCTTGGAAAATTCTTCTGTGGAGTGTGTGTGACACGGCAGTGGGCTGGTTGCTCCCAGGAGCCTGTGGGTGCTTCGCCCTCCGTGCATCGTTCCTGACGGCACACGGGTTAATGGCATTAAACTTACACTGATAGCAGCTCACCCTATCTCTGCTATTTATTAAATTGTAATCTCTCCCTCTCTCTCCCTCCCTGGCTGCCTCGCTCTCCCCTTTTCAATCCCAGTATCTCACTTGATAACGGATCAAATTCCCCATCGCCGGCCAGTGAGAAGTTTACAAATAAACCTCAGTGGAGCGTCCTCGCTCCCAAAATCCCCCAACCCCGCCGCCGGAATGTGCCTGCAGAACCAGCGGGGCTGAGAAAGCTCCTGCTGATTCCAGGGATTACTGAGGGTTGAGAGAAGGCAGGCTTTGCCTTGTGCTGCCACTGACAGACTGCTGAAACCCTACTGACAGCCACCAATATCAGACCCTGACGTGTGAAGCCCAGACTTCCCTCTGTCCCCCGCCCGGATACGGCTTTGGCAGGGGAACAGGTTCCACCTAAAAGGAGCAATTCATTTAGAAACAACTCAAGAACCAGCAAATTGGGTATTATTTGAGTCAAGCAATTACTAGTGAAATCCTGGTGAAACCTCATTAAATCACTGAAAAAAAAAATCCCCCTGACTTAAAATTATGTCGATATTTCATCCTATTGCACAGTGTTTTCAGGCCAGCAGAACACTCACTTCTCTGCTTATTTACTGGAGATGAAACTGGGTGGGAATAAAGACCACCAGCCTTCTTCGTATGCTGTCCAAGCATCATCCCAGACCCACAGTACTACCAAAAAAGAACCCCAGATCAACCCAAATGGAACAAGAATGACCCTTGGATTGACCATCTGGGTCAAAAGTGCTTTGTTTTGCAATTGCAGTTTAAGTTTACACTGCTCCAAACACTCCGAGCTAATTCTGCTCCACACACAGAATTTTCCAATTACAACTCTAATTTTTGCCTGAAAACAACCTCCCACTTCTCCCCTTCCATGGATATTTGCCTCCCTTTTCTCCCACCACTGCCAATGGAGCAGAATCAGGTCCTCATCTTTCTGCTTAACGTTTCTCGCATTTTATTAATGGCAAAGGCTTCTGTTATTACTCACACCAAATTACCTTGCTTAGACACACGGGATTTAGCATTGCAATTGTTTCAAGGCTTTTAATATAAAAGCAAAATAAATTCTACAGAAGTAATTAAAAAAAAACCCTCACCCTAAACCTTGGAAATGTCCTTTCATTTCCCAGCCCCACCAACCAAGAGCGAGAAAACCAGAGAAACTTATTTTCTCCTCTGAAAAAATTTAGTAGTGAAAAGTATTTTTACAAAATGTTTTAATGCTTCTAGTGTGTTATTTTTCTAAGTCAAAATAGCTAAGCTAAATCTTTCACCATAGCCCTTTAATTCGAAAGCCAGGGAAAATTTTTTTCATTAAACCTCTGGACGGCTTTGTTTAAAATATGAAATCAAGTAGCTCCATTTCCTGTCTTCTAAGGAACAGTAAATCAAACAGAGAACGTTCTCCAAAAATACAGTAATGGTTCTATTAAAGAGCTTGACAGTTTTGAGCCTCACCTCGCATATTGCAACATCAGGGTGAGCAAAAATAACAGAGTCAATGGTGGGGGGGGACACGACCTGCCAGTTTTCACTGATAGAAGATGCATCCTGATCAATGGGATGGGGGTTGACCCTGTGTGATGTTGGACCTGGGGGGTACCAAGGGGGGCTTGGAGGGACAGGAGGGGTTGCCCATCACTTCTCCTGCCTCTTCAGAAGCAAGAGAGGGCTTTGAAGGAAGTCCCAACCCACTTGGCACTAGCCATGCTGGTGAGCACAGTGGGGGCAGGACGGAGCTGCCCAGAAACACCTTGGCCGGGAGCGGGAACCCCACGGGCGTGTGAGGGACCAGCACATGGAAACCCTTGCCCAAAGCAGTGAGTCAATCTGTAACATACCCCGTTCAAACATTAAGGGTTGAACTTTCCTACAGGCCCTGCCAATTCCCTTCCGTGCCATAACTTTGTGACTCCAGGGGGAATGGCACAAAGCGGCCGCTCTCAGTGCTCCAACGGGGATCTGCCCAAATGCCTCATTTGAGGGTGGAGGAAGAAACATCCCCCCGACCTGCCCCAGATCTGGCTGCTGACCACGTGGCACGTGCTGCTGATCCCCACCCATGCACAACTGCCATGCTGCAGTCCCAGCCCCCTGTGGTCAGCTCAAAGTGGGACAGAATGCTCCAGCTCATCCCAGAGAACCACTGCTACACCAAGGTGTAAGTGCTAATTACTGCCTTTGGAAACGATGGCAGGAGCTTCAGCCTTCGGAGTGACTCTATTCCCTGTCATCTTCCCTCCCACAGAGTTTCTTTTTTTCCAGAACCTCTCACAGTTCTGTTATAAACAGGACATTACTCACCAGCCCTGTATCCTGTGAGTGCACTTCATTAACAGAGCCTTCGGCCGGGGTACCCAGTCCCACAGGCAACCAACTCTTCCAAATCCCTTTGAACTCCTGGCTGAGCGAGCCCGAGAGGTTCCTCGTCCCTCCCCAGCACTCCAGGCTTGTAAACAAAACCCCTGTTTATTCCTCTGTCAGTGTTTCTAAAGGAGCTCTGAGCAAACACGCAGCTGCCGGGAGCTGCCTCGGGAGCTCCCGTGCCCAGCAGCTCCATGGGATGAAGGATGGTCCAGAAGGAAGTTGCCCAACCACTGCCCATGTCCCACACGGCCACAGACTCAGGACAGTGGCCGAGGCAATGATGGCAACGTTCAGGATCACAGTGATGTCGTGGTGAAAGCTCAGCAGGTCCTTAGGGACCATCTCACCCTCCTGCTCCTCCTCACATCCCGAAAAACTCCATCTCCTCCTGCACAAGGGGTTAACCAGGGGCTCAGGAGGAGCATTTTGGATGATTAGGAGCACAGCCAGTGATCACAGCCATCCTGAAGGCTTTCAAACACCAGCGAGGCTGCAATTTTCAGAGCTGGAGCAGCGAGACATTTTTATAAATACATAAATCTTTTCAAGGAAAAACAAATATAGAGAAAAGAATGTAAACATTATTGTAAAATGCATAATAAAATGTCTGTTGTTTGTTAATTTTGCTCCTTATTATCCAGCCTATCTGTACCACCGATGTTGAAACATTTGCTTTTTTTTTTTTGCTTTTTTTAAACTCTCTTATTCATTTAAAAATAGTTTCCTGCATGTTATATGAATAAGCAAAACCTAAGGTCCTAAATCCAGGGGAACTTTGAAGTATGAAACCCGTGGTCTATGGGAACTATGTTTTCATTAATCAAAGTAGATGTTTCTAAAGCCATCAGATTTATCATGACTGGATTTCATATGTGAAACCCAATATACACACAGACATACACTGCTTGTCCTTTTGGATTAGTGCTGACCTTTTACTCTCCTTTCTGAAGGATCTGCCTTTCCTCAGAGCAGGGCTGCCCTGCTTTGCCAAAGGAGCCTTGACAGAGTGCGGTTCCAACTCTCCGCTTTCTGTGTCTGAGGACGAGTCTGGGCTAAGGTCAAAACATAAATGATTAAGTGTATTTATTAAACTCTGCCTTCGCCTTGAATGCTCCCAGCCACTCTGTTAGATGCCATCCAAGTGCAGATTCCTGCTGGCAGCACACCTGGCCACCAAACCAGGCACCCCAGAGCTGCCACCACACGACGCCGAGCCCCGCAATCGCGACGCTGAGCGAAGCCCCCCCAAGCCCCTTGAGCACTGCCAAGAGCTCCTCCAGCCCTTGCTGAGCTCCTGGCTTCCCCAAGGCATGGAGGTTAGTGAAAGGACATGGCAGAGACTGGATGGCTTAAAAACAGGAGGCAGGATGTGACATCCATCCAGAGCAGGACTTAAAAGATAAAACGCAAAAAAATGCGCGTTCGGTGTCGACGGGGGAATTGATGCCCCTGTGGTTTTGCAGCACCAGAAGCACAGGACTTTGTCATCTTGCTCTGAAGAGTCATGTGGGGGCTGGGGCACAGGTGGGGACAGGTGGGTGCTGTCATGGGTTGCAGGCACCCATGGAGAAGATGCAACTCACCCCCAGCCTAAGGAGCACAGCGCACTGAAAAATCAGATGAGCACATTTTTCCAATACTGGATGCCATTTATCTGTCTAAAAGCAAAAAAGGAGATGGAAACTACAGTATAAGTGGATGCTATTATGATTTTAAAAACAAAATATCCCTTCGTAATAAAATTAATTTCCAAGAAATTCCCTCCCCCTCCCCAGTCCCCTTGAACAGCAAGATTCCTGCATATTTTAACGCTTTAAAGAATCAGAAAGCCTGGAAAAAATCAGGAATGCTACAATCGGCCCCAAACCCCCTCAGAGATTAACATTTCTTTGTATTTAATCCTGGCATAAAGCAGAGTGTCCTGAAGGACAGAGGGCTCTGCAGGAGCCGGGGTGGATGTGAGTCACCAGGTACGACTCTGCACAGCAGAAAAACTTCACCTGATGTTCTTTCAACCTCCAGCTCTGGAAATTTCATTAAAAAAGGATTCGCAAAAGATCTTCAGCACTTCTTAGTTTTTGCAAGGTTGGAAATGTTTTCTTGTGGTATTCACATACTTACAATTCTCAGCCCTGGTTAAAATTAGAAAATCCAGTAACGTGGGTTTTTTTCTTTTTTTTTCCCTCCTAGTAAAATTTCCCACTCTCTGAAGATCTACGACTTAGCTAAGCTTACAAGAAGATGATTATTGAGATTTTCAACAATGCCTAGGAAATTTAAACACGCAGTGAATTCCATTAAATCTCAGTGGAGGCTTTTTTAGAGGAGTCTTTATTTTGTTTGACTTCTCAGCTGAAGAAAAGCTGCGATTTCAGGATGCTGTGGGGAGAGCTGGGTAAGATGCAGGAAGGACACACCTGGCATTTCTGTGACACTACAGAATGATCCTGACTTGCCTATTTGTTTAGATGCCAAGTAATTTCTGAACTCCTGGGAAGAGGTTTGCAGGCCTACCTTGCCTTAGTGAGGTAGAAATGCCAATTCCACTGCAGGGACTGGAATAATGCATTACTTCCCTTAAGAAAACAGCAAGATTTATCTTGCTTATTATCAATCTCCTGGCATGTGCAAATGCACACACATATATATATATACATGTACAAAGGACACATAATGGATTATAAAAGGCTCATATTCACCCACAAGTAAGGAAAGATCTGACAACTCATCGGGGTTTTCGGGATAACTGAGATCTTATGTTACACTTTGAGACACAAGCGTGGATTTGTCATATTGCTTGGGAGTTAGTGGTAACTGCCCGAGCCAAGGAATTTAATTCTGATTGTTTCGTTTGAATTAAAAAAAAAAAAAAATCTTAAGTGTTGAAAAAACATTGGAACCGTGCTATGTACTAATATATCACTCAAATTGTAATAGGAGACTCTTTCTTGTGTAATAGAAACAGAGAGTGTAATGCTTGGAAAGGCCAAGTTCATTGTGGGTACAGTTCATCTGCAGCTGAATGCTGGGGATACTGGATTTTAAACCTGCTGCAAAGGAAGAGGGGGGGGTAATTTCTTCTTCATAAGTAATTTGCAGCCAGAAAAATGTTCACGAACAAGGGGAGATAATGGACAGCTTGTTGTCAGCCAAGAGAGGCTCACAGCAGAGCATCTGTGGGGAAGCAGCTGAGCATTGATGCTCCGGAAACACGAAATTTCCTTTACATCACTGACAACTTGGTAAGAGAGAAACTGAAATATTTTTTGCATTATAACAGCAAAAGTTCCTCTGGTCTCATATCACCTTTCCCAGATGAAACATTTCACAACCCAGCTGACATATAAACAGAAACCAAAATATTTTCCTAAGGTGCATCACTAATCCAGCTCGGGGCCTCCAACTTGTAATTTATTTATCTTACCTCACTATGAGATAATGTAAGCGCCAGTTCCAAGCTACTGTCTAATAACTACTTGTACATGGGATAAATAAATCTCATTTGCAAACACCAGGCACTCGCTGGGTGTTTGGGAAGAGCTCACAGGGTGACTTTTCCTGCTGGTCTCTCTGCCCAGCCCGTGGATGGTCACACCCAGCCCCTGCCATCGCCTGCAGCACAAGGCACAGAATTATGGAAGGGTTTGGGTTGGAAAGGACCTTACAGACCACCTTGTTCCACCCCCTGCCATGGGCAGGGACACCTTCCACTATCCCAGGTTGCTCCAAGCCCTGTCCAACCTGGCCTTGGACACTTCCAGGGATGGGGCAGCTACAGTTTCTCTGGGCAACCTGTGTCAGGGCCTCCCCACCCTCCCATTAGGATTTCTTCCTAATGATGAACCTTCTGACGCTTGTTACCATTCAACTTATTAGGGTTATATCCACTGCAGAGCCTGCTGGACTCACAATTTTAACATATTTCACAACCAGCACAAGATGAATTCAGGTATTAAACCAGGGTGATGGAAATGTCTGTGTCTGGGGTAGCTGAGCAGCTGCTGTGAGGATACAGCACCAGCAACATCAGGAACTGGTTTGGAAACTCAGCAACTTCTGAGTGACCAAGGTCAGGGAATGGAGGAAAGACTGCAAAACACACCTAAAGGACCAAACTCCCTGCTGAGGCAAACCAAATTTTCAGTGTTGACAGAGTCTTATTGCTCACACCAGGGAACAGCTGGAACATCAAGGTTTAACCAGCTCACCCAAGCCAGGGTTGCCCAGAATGAAATCTTCTGCCTGAGGACAACCCAGTGCAATGCCACATCTTCCTACAAAGTATGAAAACATGGACAGGACTTCCAGATCCACCACATTCTGCCCTGGGCAGGCTGCACATCCCAGGTACTACTCCATCAGCTCTGGGCCTTTTGGAAACTGCTCACTCCAAGCCTCTGGGTCCCTCCAAGAACACCAGGAAAATGTGTTTCTTTAGGGGCTACAGAGAAACGTGAAATTTTATGTTTAGAAAATAATAAAAAATTCAACAAAACCTTAAACTTGTTTCCTTGTGAGCCTTCCAAGTCCGGGAAGATAAATTCTTTTGGCCCGATCCTGAATTCATTAAAAGCACGTGCCAAGTTGCACGAGCGAGTTATCTGAGCTCCAGCAAAGGACTGGACCTACAAAGCACTGAAATCTCTGGTCCTGAGCCAGCTTAAGCATATACTTACTTTTAGACATGCAAAGAGCCACAGTGACTTCAATGGGGGTATATATATGCTGAAAGTTAAGTGTGTGCTTAAGTGTGCTGCTGGAGCGGGGCCAGAGCACTCGGGGACTCACAGCACCAAGGTCTGATCTCCTCCCAAACCCCATCCAAGGCAGGGATTTCACTCCAGCCAGGCAGGACCCAGCTGGTCAGGAGCCAGCAGCCCTGTCCTCGCTGTCTGAAGTTTTCCTCCGCATCCATCGAGGAGGTTTTGCCCTTGTCACTTGTGTTATCCATCAGGCATCTGGTGGCTGGATAAGGCAGAGCGACGTTGCAAGGTGAGATGATGGAGTGAAAAAATGATTGCAGCTGGCATGTCCCAGCCTAAGGCTTTCGGTCATTTAACTCATCTCCCTCTCATCCCCAGCACAGACTGCACTCAAAGGGCAGCAGATTTACCCTTCCACAAAGCTCCACGTTGGCACTCGGAGACTTGCAGGAACAACTCCAAGAGCAAACAGGAATCAGGCAGCGGTGGCTCGCCCTTCATGGCCAACAGCAAAGCTTTCAGGAATAAGCAAGAACTACTTAAAAAAAACCAGAGTCACACAAGGACTTTGACTGCCTTGAGTAACAGCACCGTTTTTTCACTTGACAGCAGCACTCTGACCTCCTGCTGCAGGAGTCACTACAGGTGACCAGAAGGGTGTGCCTGTAGGGCATCATCCTTATGGGGACAAATTAAAATGGATTTTTTTTCTTACTTTTCTTCCTTACTTCCTACAAGAATAGGAAAAAAGTGGGTGCACCAAGCCAAGCAAATGCAAAATAAATCACAGTTAAGAGGAGTGTCTGATAAATCACGCTGTGCTGTTAACTCATGAAACATGGTGTGCTCTAAGCTGGAAGCACAAGAACTGGGTTTTTACAGTCAATTTTCTTCTTTATTTCTTCAGTAAACCCTATTTTGGAGCAGTGATAGCAAGGACATACTTTTCACTGATTTATGATGCAATATAACCCCCAATGTCATTTGGGATGCACCATTCCACAAGGAGTCACCCTGTACAGAGAAGACACTTGGGTGTCTGGAAGTCCAAATCATGATGCCCCAAATCCCTATCTGACCCAACAGGCTCTGTCTGACAGATTTCCCTGGATCTGTGAAGAACTGCCCCAGTTTTCCCAGCACTGTGGCCCCTCCCCAGGACTTCCAGGATGGTTCAAGTGGGTGTTTCTCGCTGCCTGATTCAGCTTTACTGCACCCTCAAAACACATTTTATAGCACCAAGAGGCTTAAGGACCCCAGGAAAAGTGGGATCCTCCACACCTGGAGCTGCCCAGTTACACATAGGAGAGAAACCCCAGGTCTCTCCACAGGGACCAAAGCACTGAAAATCAGGTGCTGTG